AAGGTGTTAATTTTGTATCTTGCTACATTGCTGAATGCATTTATTATATTTAGTAGTTTTTGACGGAGATTTTTGAGTTTTCCATATACAATATTATATCATCTGCTAATAATGACAGGTTTACTTCTTTTCCAATTTGGATGCCTTTCATTTCTTCTTCTTGTCTGATCGCTATGGCTAGCACTTCCAGTCTTATATCGAACAGGAGTGGTGCAAGTGGGCGTCCCTCTTTTGTTCCTGTTCTTAGGGAAAGTGGTTTTAGTTTTTGCCCCTTGAGTGTGATACTGGCTGTAGATTTGTCACATAAGGCTTTTATTATGTTGAGGTATGATCCCTGTACTCTCACTTTGCTGAGAGTTTTTCTGAAGAAAGGGTGTTGGATTTTGTCAAATTCTTTTTCTGCATCAATTGAAATGATTTTGATTTTTGTCTCTCATTTTATTTTTTAAAAAATATATTTTATTTTTAGTTTTTTATTATAATATTTTATTGATTTTTTTTACAGAGAGGAAGGCAATCAGCTGCCTTCTGCACACAGCCTACTGGATATGTGCCCGCTACCAAGGTACATGTCCTTGACCGGAATCGAACCTGAGAGACCCTTGAGTCCGCAGCCCGATGCTCTATCCACTGAGCCAAACCGGTTAGGGCTTAAAATATATTTTATTGATTTTTTTACAGAGAGGAAGGCAGAGGGATAGAGAGAGTTAGAAACATCGATGAGAGAGAATGAGCGATCAGCTGCCTCCTGCACACCCTCAACTGGGCATGTGCATGGAACCAAGGTACATGCTCTCAACTGGAATCGAACCTGAGACCCTTCAGTCTGCAGGCCGATGCTCTATCTACTGAGCCAAACCAGTCAGGGTTCTCACTTTGTTTTTATGATGTATCATATTTATTCATTTGCAATACAGTACCATCCTTTCATTTACAAATTAAATCCTACTTGGTCATGGTATATGATCTTTCTAATGAAATGCTGGATCTGATTTGCTGGAATAATGTTGAGGATTTTAGTGTCGGTAGGGGTCACTTCGACTACTGTGGGCGAGCTGCTGTGAAGAAGACACCCCTATGGTACAGGATTTGCTTCAGTGAGGCTTTGGTGCTCAGTGAATCTGCCCCTTGAGTGTGTGGCTTATGGATGTTAAGAGTTGTAAGCTGGCCAAAACCTGTTTGGCTTGGTGGATGGAGTGTGCGCCTGAGGACTGCACGATCCCAGATTCGATTCCGGTCAAGGGCATATACCTTGGTTGTGAGCACATCCTCAGTTTGAGGTGTGCAGGAGGCAGCTGGTCGATGTTTCACTTTTATCGAT